GGGCCCTAGGTTGGGGGGGTGCGGGTGCAGAGGCGCCCTCACTTCAGTGGGCCATGTGAGTCCTGGGACCCTAGGTTGGGGTGCGAGCTGCGAAGGCTCCCTCACTTCAGTGGGCTGTGTGAGTCCTGGGGCCCTAGGTTGGGGGGGGTGCGAGTGCAGAGGCGCCCTCACTTCCTTCTTTGGACACACAGGCCTGGAAGCAGGTCTGTCTTGCCTCTAGCCCGGCTGTTATGACAAGTGAGCTCGCACGGGAGGAAGGTGCTGGCGAAAGGGCAGTTCCCTGGCAGCAGAGGGAAAGCAGGCATCTCTGGAGGGGTGCACACGCCAGCAGTGCAGGGACCCTCGAGTTTAGGGACCCTTGTGGCCCCCGGACAGACAAGCAGCCACAAGTAGAAATAGAGACTCAAAGTAACAGTGCAGTATGAGGGAGAAGGGCCAGCTTTGGTCATGGGTCCAGTCTGAGGTTAGAGCCTACTCACTAACATGGTCAGTGACTTAGGTTAGCAGGGAGCTCCCCAGTCCTGAGCAGAGACCAGGGAAGGCAGGCTCTCTTTCTCTCTCTCTCTGTCTCTCTCTGTCTCTCTCTGTCTCTCTCTGTCTCTCTGTCTCTCTCTCTCTCTCTCTCTCTCTCTCTTCTCTCTCTCTCTCTCTCTCTCCCTTCTTTCTTTCTTGAGACAGGGTCTCACATGCAGCTCAGGCTGGCCTTAAGCTCACTTTGTAGCCCAGGTTGGTCTTGAAATCACAACAATCCTGTCTCAGCCACCTGTGTGCTGGGGTCACAAATGTGCGCCTGTATACCCAGCCAGGGAAGGCTTTTTGGAGAACTGGGGCTTAGGTCTGGAAGGAGGGAAAGCATTTGGAGAGGTTAAAAAAAAAAAAAAAAAAAGGAAGGCATTTGGGAGACAAAGGTCTGTTTGAGATGAGTGTGGAATGAGGAGGCCACAGGAGGTTGGCCTGGCTGGAGTGAATGGTGGCCAACTGAGGAGGTGTAGCTTCCACGTGGGAGACAATAGGGAGCTACAGTAGGTTCTTGAGCGAGGGAGGGACAAATTAGAATCTGCTTACTTACCTGAGTATATCTGGCAGTGTTCACCCACATGCTGGGCTGGGGCTTTAGGAAGCCATCTCTTCCTTCTGCACCCATTTAGCCAACAAACTATGAGCAAAGCCTAGTGCAAAATGTGTTTGAAACAGCTGAGTCAAACGTCTGTCCTGGTAGAGAAGGGTGTGAGAGTTGGGGGGGGGGTGTGCAGAAACAGAAAGGGAATGATGGATATGGGGGGACGGGCGGGAGGGCGGAGCAGGAACTCTACTCTTGAGGAAGCCCTGCTCAGAGACCCCACCGAGCCAGGGCTGGGGCTTCCTGGTCAGCCCCTCTGCGGCCCTCACCCCTACAGAGACGAGGAGGAGCTGAGGCGCTCTCTGTCTGAATTGGCCGACCCTAACCCCAAGGTCATCAAGCGGGTCGGCGGGGGCAGTGGCAGCGGCTCCAGCCCTTTCCTGGACCTGACTCCCGAGCCTGGGGCCGCCGTATACAAGCACGGGTCCCTGGTGCGCAAGGTGCACGCAGACCCCGACTGCCGGAAGAGTACGTGCGCGGCGGGAACGGGCGGGTGGGGGTGGGCCTGCCGCGGCCCCCCTGACCTGCCTTTCCTTCCCAGCGCCTCGGGGCAAGCGGGGCTGGAAGAGCTTCCACGGCATCCTCAAGGGCATGGTGCTGTACCTGCAGAAGGTGCGGGGTGCCCTGCCGCGGGTGGGCCGCAGTGGCACGGGCGAGGGAGCAGTGATGTGGGGGGCCAGCTAGGCCGGGACCACAGTTGGGCCCACCCGCCCGCAGGAGGAGTACCAGCCCGGGAAGGCGCTGTCTGAGACGGAGCTCAAGAATGCCATCAGCATCCACCACGCCCTGGCCACCCGCGCCAGTGACTACAGCAAGCGGCCGCACGTCTTCTACCTGCGCACGGCCGACTGGCGCGTCTTCCTCTTCCAGGCTCCGTGAGCGTCCTGCTCCCCCTGCCGGGCCGCACCCAGGGACACCGGCCCCGCCCCCTCCTGTGCCATTGGGTTGCCTCTGCCCTCCTCTGGCTGCCTTCTGAGCCAGGGCCAGCCCTGTCTCGTCTCCGCAGGAGCCTGGAGCAGATGCAGTCGTGGATCACACGCATCAACGTGGTGGCCGCCATGCTCTCTGCACCCCCGTTTCCAGCGGCCGTCAGCTCCCAGAAGAAGTTCAGCCGCCCTCTGCTGCCCAGCGCTGCGACGCGCCTCTCCCAGGTAGCCCTGCTTCCCGGGTCTAGCGGGGTCACACCACTGGCTTGAAGACCACCGCATGGCCACAGCTGAGCAGGCCCAGGGCCAGCCGGAACCCAGCCAAGGCACCGGTGGGGAGCGCTGCATGACCACTGTGCCCCTGACTGTGCTCCCCGGCTGCCAGGAAGAGCAGGTGCGGACCCACGAGGCCAAGCTGAAGGCCATGGCCAGTGAGCTGCGTGAACACCGGGCCACGCAGCAGGGGAAGAAGGCCCGTGGCAAGGAGGCGGACGAGCAGCGGCAGAAGGAGGCCTACCTGGAGTTTGAGGTGAGCTCCCTGCCTGGCACCCGCGTCTGTCAGTGGGCTCTGGCTGGCCTCCGACAGCGTGGAAGAGTGGGTGACCTCAGGCAGGGTACTTTCCTGTGAATCTCGGTTTTCTCTGCTGGGAACAAGGTTGGCCTGCACCCAGCCCGGCCACACTGGGGTTTGGGAAGCAATGTCGGTAAAGTGCCAAGTTTCCCAGCTCTGGACATAGCTCCAGGGATGCTCACTAGCCCCGCCGTGGTAGTGCAGGAGCTCAGAGAGGGCTGTGGCCTGTTGGGGTTGTCAGCAGCGAAGGGCTTGTAGAGGTGAGGAGGCCTTGTTACATCTGGGCCCCACGTCCTTGCCCTCTGCCTTAGAAATCTCGCTACAGCACCTATGCAGCGCTGCTTCGGGTCAAGCTGAAGGCGGCCAGCGAGGAGCTGGATGCCATAGAAGCAGCACTGGCCCAGGCCGGGAACCCCGAGGATGACCGCCCTCTGCCTCCCTCCAGCCCTTCCCTGCAGCCTGATCCTACAGGGCAGCCTCGGGCCCAGCACCCTGGCTCAGCTTCACGGTCTGGAGCAGGCAGTGCACCCCGGAAGCCCTGAGCTGGGCGAGGCAGTATGGTGGGGGTGCCTGTGGATACCTGCATGGTGACAGGCCCTGCCTGAGCCCGGCCAGCCTCGGGCCACACAGAGGGCTCCCAGCAGGGCCCGACCGCGCCGGACGCGGGGTCCGGGGCAAGCGGGGCAGGTGCAGCTTCAGGAGCCTAGGGCGAGGCCCCCTGAGACCCCTTTTGTGATAATGTTTGCACTTTTTCCTACAGGGGGGCGGGGTGGGAGGGCCAAATGCCCAAAATTTTGATGCAGGTTTTTTTTTTTTTTTTGTGGGGGAAGGCCTGATGACATTTCTGCTTCCTGCTGGGACCATCCACCCCATACCAGCAACTCTGTCCTGGGGCCTGGCTCCGGCAGAGGCCAGGAGCTGGGCTGAGCTGGTTTCTGTTCTCCCCAGGGATCCCTGTCTGTTCCTGGAGGTGGGAGGGGTGTCATGCACAGGTCAGCAGCGGCCTGCTCCTCTCCCTCCCTGGGCCGTCCTTTGTACATTCTCTACCCCATTAAAACTGCTCTGAATTGCTGGCTGGGCTTCCTGCTCCTCTTCTTGATGCTTGGGGCCAGGATAGGGACAGGAGTCACACTGGGGGTGGCCAGAAGTTATCAAGGGTCCTCCTCTTTAAAAGAATCCTTTATTTGCCCCCAATGAGATGTGGGCAATGGGTGTTAAATAAAACTCAGAGGGGGTGAGGGTGCTGTACAGAGAGGTCCAGGAGGAGGGCTGAGGGGACACAGTTCAGTGCACCTGTGGTTGGGGGTGCCCATGGCAGAAGCCTCCGGGGGGCTCTGGGAGTGGGCCCAGTGTCTCTGCCTCCTGCTCCACGGACTGGCTTCCATAGGCACTGTCTTCCTTCACTTCAGCTGAGGGGCACACGGAAGGCACAAGGAACATCAGGGCTGCTGGCCCCCAACCCTCTGGCCCGGGGCCACCTTCCCGGGTGCCTCGTGTACCTGTGCTGGGCAGTTTGTCTCGGGTCTCAGGACCTCTCAGCAGTCTCACCCCCTCATCTAGACCCATGTCAGATAGTGCGTCCAGCAGACCTGCCAGGTCCCCGCCAGCCAGCTGAGAAGAAGAAGAGGGAGGTTCAAGTAGGGGTTAGGGAGAGCGTTTGGGAGCCCAGGGACCCGGGAGGCGGCAGGCAGGTGGCTGGGGGCCGGGGTAGGACACGGCCATGGGCCCCACCTTGTAGCTGCGCAGGAGGCTGCCGCTGGGTGAGGGCGTCTTCCGGTATGTGTCCACCAGGCTGCGCAGCCCTAGCCGCTCAGCCAGCTCTGCCCAACTGCCCTGGGCTTCTGGTCCATCTAGCAGGTGCTCCAAGTTCTGCAGAGTCGTCTCACCCAGGGACAGCCCTGGTCCTGAGATTACACACAGATATGAGTTGCCTCTGGCTACTGGCTTGCTTCCTGGTGACCTTAGAGGCCACTGGGGTGGCAGAGAAGCCTCTGTAAGGAGGGGTCAGGGATCTGGGCAGACCTCACCTGCAGGGCTGGGTGGGGTGAGCGGGGGCTCCATGGAGTTCTGCGCTGCATTGAGCAGCAAGGTCTTCACCTGGAGAGGCAGCTTGATTATCTTCCGTGCCAGTCCTTAGACACACATGCTGGCCCCACCCCCAAAACCAGAAGGTGCCCCCGTGTCAGGCTGGCCTCACCTTAGTGCTTCGAGTGAGGTCAAGTGGCGTGTGGCCCCGGAAGCTGCCTCTGCTGTCCCTTTCAGGCCCCTCAGAGTCCGAGTCACTCCCCGAGGTGGGGGGTGAGGGCAGTGGGCACAGGGGCTCCTCGTTTTCTGCGTGGATATCAGCACCTGGGGCAGGGCAGTGGGGCCCATGTTAAGGCTGCAGTGGGGGCCTGGGCAGCACCCCTTTGCCCTAAATGCTGCCTAAATGCCTGTACAGATGAGACTGACCAGCCTTGAGGAGGAGGCGGGTGAGAGTCGGGGAGCCCAATCCAGCTGCCAGGTGGAGGGGTGTGTTTCCAGCAAAGGTTCGGGCATTCACGTTGGCATGCAGCTGTGGGGTGCAAGGCAGTGGTGATGCTAGCCTCCTTCCACACCCTGGCCCCAACCCTCCCCCATTCTCTTTCCTACCTTGGTGACCAGATGGGTGACCAAGCCCAGCTCCTCCATCTCTGTGGCTAGATGCAGGGCTGTTCGGCCACCCTGCCGCTCTGCCGCTTCCACTTCGGCGCCACTGTCCACCAGCAGGTCCAGGCACTCAGGGCTTCGGGCGCGAACTGCCAGGTGCACTGGGTAGAGCCCTAGGGGCAAAGGACACTCAGCCTACCACTGTGGCCCCATGCAGCCCTGATCCATCCACTTCTGCCCCTCAGGTCCAGGCACAGTGCCCTCCCCACACTGGGGTCCCGAGAGGTGGGCCCTTACCCTCAAAGTCCGGCATGTGCAATAGCTGGGGCATGGCTGGAGCCCCACTCTGCAGCAGTGCTCGCAGCAGATCTGGGGCCCCCACACCTGCCCGCAGCGCCAGGTGCACAGCTGAGTCTCCATGCCGGTCCAAGCGAGCTGGGTCGGCCCCCACCTGCAGCAAGAAGCTCACCACCCGGGTCTGTCCCGTGATCACCGCCAGGTGCAGGGGCGTCTGAGGAGGGAGTGAGGTGAGCTCTCCACACCCCAGCTCAGATTCACTTGTCTGCCATCCCCTCCCCCTGGGGTGTGCCCCTCACCTGGTGCAGGTGGTTGGTGAGGTTGGCTACCTCGAGATGCTGCGCATGGTAGATAATGTGCGCCATCTGCTCAATGACTGCGGTCTGCCCGTGGATGATGGCCAGATGCAGGGGTCTGGGTTGGGGAGGAGACCGGCCTTTCAGCCCAGCAGCTCGCACTATCTGCGGCCCTTGGAGCCCAAATTGTCTCCAGTGGCACCGCCGGGCCAGAGCCCTTCCCTGTGGCTTTGTGGGCGGATCGCTGCTAGCACCTTGCCCCTCTCCAGGCTGGCAAAGCCAACGTCCGGAGCGTAGAGACCCTGTGCTCGACTGAACCAGTAGACTGGCCTTGGGCCCGGGGCGCCCTCCTCCCGCCTATCGCTCGCGGGGCGGCCGGGCCTACGTGTCCCCGTTCTCGTCCCGCGCCGTCAGCAGGTGGCGCTGTCCCGCGAGTAGAGTGCGCAGATCGGCCGTGACGCCGTAGTCCAGCAGTGCACGCGCCTCGCGCCGCGCCAGGCCCAGCAGGCGCGCGCCGTAATCCCGCTCCGAGGGCGAGGGCGACGGTGCAGCAGGAGGCTCCTGCTGCTGGATCGCGGCCGCCCCGACGTCCCCGGCGTCTGCCATCTGCGCGCCGCCGCCGCCGGGGTAGCATCCCGTCGGGGCCGCGCCTGCCGCATAGGGGCTGTAGGCCAGGGAGGAGGGAAAGAAGCCAAGGCCGCCACCTGTGGGGGCAGGCTGTGCTCACAACGCTTCCTTCCCGGCGCCCCACCTCCTCCGTCCCCCGGGCCCAGCGCCCCTCACCTCCTCCGCCAGCTCCTCCGTAGCCCCCGGCTGAGCCCCCAGCGCCGCCGCCCATGTGAGAGCCACCCCCGAAGGTCTGGGACAAGGTGGGCAAGGCCTTTCTCCGCTTCCGCTGCACCTCCTCCTTGTCTGGGCGAGGGAGACGGGCTGTGAGAACCCTAATGCAGGGGTCCTGGCGCCGGGCTCGCCCCACCAGGCCGCAGCCTGCTTCTGGCACCTTCCAGAACCCAGCCCGGCCTCAGGCGCGGCGCACCTTCCACCAAAGGGTAGTAGGTGAACTGCTTCGAGTCTGAGACATCGCCTCCGCGCTTGCGCTTCAGCTGCAGGAACACTGTCACAGGCCGCTCGATCTTCATCTTGTGGTAGGGGGGTGTCCGGAACACGATGGCATACTGGGGGTTCACACGGGGCGTCAGGGAAGCCACTGCCTACCTCAGCGCCCTGCCTGGCGGGGCCCCTGAGTACCTGCTTGTGGACGTCCGTGGGAGAGAAGTCCCCAAAGGCCTGCCACCCATTCTCGTCATCCTCATAGAACCGAACTTCAATGTCATCTGTGGGGAAGCAGTAAAGGTTGCCACGTGCGTCCTGGAGCCTCCCTGGCCCTGGGACTTACCCCAGCACCCCGGCCCCAGCCTGGGCTCCAGCCTCACCTTTCTGCACCTTGTCACAAAGCAGGTAGACTTCATCTCCACCCCGCACTGAACCTGCTGTCTTGTCCATTCGAGAAATCTTCAGGTTGGAAGCCCCAGGAGACTCTGGAGTGGGAAAGAGCTTCGCTAAGATGATACAACGCCGTGGCTACGGGGATGGAGCCACCCAGGAGCGCCAGAACGCTAGTGTCCTCCTTTGCCAAGAACAGAAGCTACACTCCAGGGGAGAAATGACCTGCTAGGCGCCATGGCAGGTCACAGGGCAGGGCAGGGTCAAACCCAGGCTCAGCGTACCCCACAACTTGAGAGTTCCCCTCAAGCTCTCTCTGGCCCCCAGGGGGTCTGGATACTCACTGCTGTCGTGGATGGGCTGGGAGATAACTGGCTTCAGGGGCAGAGAGAAGGAGCCGTCGCTGGCCCGGAGGAAGGCCGAGAAGCGCAGCCGCACGATGCTGAGGTCCATCACCTTTTTGAGCTCCTTGGCCTCCTGCTCCAGCTCCCGCCGCTCGGCCTCTGGGCATCAAGCAGACAGTGAGCCCTGGGTGCCTCCTCCATCCAGTTCCTCCCTGTGCAGGTCCCTCCCGGCTCCTCTCTCAGTACCTGTCAGGCCCTGGGGCCTGGAGCGGAGCCGCTGCCTCTGAAGTTTCTGCATCATAATCTCCATCATGTTCTTCTTGGTCACATGCAGGACACCCAGGTTGTTAAACCTGAAAGGGGAGGAGTCTGAGCCTATCCCAGGCAGTCCTTTCCTCCTGAGGCTGCCTCCCTGCGGCCAGTCCTACTTCCTCAAGGAAGCTGCTCTAGGTCATTATACATGGCTCTGAGCTCCTGGGGCCCACCTGAGCCTGTGTCACCTGTGGAGCTCAAGAGCTGGGCCTAGAGCTAGCAAGTAATGAGGGGACATCCCAGTGGGGTCAGGGCTGGGGACACCTACTGCGCAGTCATGTCCTTGGGGCCCACAGACACAGCGCAGACCCCCAGCTCTGAGCACTGCTTGCCCACGAGGCTGTGGGCGTGAGCACGCGGCGGGTCACTGTGTGTCACCAAGTCCACCTCAATCTTGGCTGGTCCCTCGTAGTTACAGATCTGAGAGGAACAGGGGCTGTGAGTGGTGGCCCTGTCCATGCTGCCCCCTTGCCCACCCTCTGGTCCCATCCTGGCTCACCTTAACAGTGGGATAGGTCTTCCGGCCCTTCTCACTGGAGGCGCCCGGCAGGCCTCCATGGGAGGGACCTTCACAACCATACCGAAATCGGAAGCCTCGCTGAAGGACCAGGGTAGAGTGACATTGTGATCAGGTAAGACTGCCCAAGGCAGCCACACTATGGCCAGCAGGGTCCACAGTGACCAAAAGCATCTTCCCTGAACCACAGCCACCCCACTGTGATCAGCAGCAACCAGCCATCCACACTACAGTGGTCTTCTGGGTACAGACCCCTGGCCCCATGGCCACCAGCTGCAGCTATGTCTCCTGCCCCGCAAGCTGACACCGTGCCACACTGCCCCTTCAGCTTACCTGTTTAGGTTGCTCTACAATCACCAGGTAGGGGCCATCAGCTGGGGGACAGAGGAGCCTTGCTGAGGCAGGGCCTCAGACCAGAGGACATGAGCTCTCCCTCCACCCTCCAGGACAAGGGGAGCTTAGAGGACATACAGACCTGTCTCTAGGGCTGGCTCCTTGGGTTCCACAATGGAGGGGCTGAATTTGAAATCGTCATATTCAGTGAGGCCATCCAGGCCCTGATTTGGAGAGAGGTGCAGGTGGTGTCTGACCCTGAGTCCCAGAGCCCCCCAGCTCCGACCTGTCGGTGAGCGCTCCCCCCTTCCTTGGGCCCTAGGAAAGTTCCTTCAGGAAGGAGTTGGCACAGATGGACAAAGAGGCAGGCTTGAGACGGCTGAGAACATACAGGAGTGAGGGAGCGGACAGACAGACAGACATAGGGGCACCAGCCACCTTCAGGGCCGGCAGCATGACTCACTGGGTCGTAGCAACTGTCCATATCTCTGAGTTAGGCCCGGCTGTCGTGGCTTCGGCCCCGGTTCTACTTGAGTTTTAGGACACCGGCCTATAGTGAGGAGGAACGGCACGGGATGGGGACAGAGCAGGACAGGGGTGGGCAGGAGGGGGGGCGATGTGGGGGAGGGTCCGATCTCCTCCAGCCGCCAGTCCGGGTGTGGCGAGTGAGATCCGGCGAAGCTGGGCCGGGTTGGGGAAGGGGCAGAAAGTTAGAGCAGTTTAGGAAAGTCCCGAAAATACCAGGGGGGCGGGGCTGGAGGGCGGGCCTGGAAGTGACGCTATCGGCCCCGCCCCCGCGGCGGGAGGGGCAGGGGTCTACGGCCTGTCTGGCAGGCAGAAGGCGGAGGGGCCGGGAGACCGAGGGTTTGGGGGACTGGGGGGCCGGAGCCCGGAGCCCGTGAGGTCCCCCGGCAGGAGGGACGAGACGGGCACCCTGGACATGTCTTGTGCCACCCGGGCAGCTCAGAGTCCGGGACCGGGCCGCTGCTCGCACTCCACCAGCCTGGAGCAACCATGGGATTTTCTGCCAAGAGGGAGGCCACGGCTGATTCACCTCCGGGGCTTTTGGGGGGACATTCCTGCCATCGGAAAGCCGCCTCTTCGAACGGTCCGGTCCGTAGGCGGTGTGTGGGGGGCGCTTCCCAGTGGGGGGCCCGGGGTTCTGCACCTTAGGCCGGGGTGTGTGTTGTGGAGGCGTCTGCTGCTGAGGCCGGGTTCTTGGCTGCTGGACTTGCAAGCCGAACCTTGCACCTTGAGCGGAGGGGAGGTGGAACCTCCTGCCCCCAGCTTTGTGCAGTACTTTGAGCGTCCCTCACTGGCGTACAGGATTTCTTCCCTGTTGCTCAGCGAGGACGGGTTTCGGCCCCAGTACTCCCGCGCATGCTGTGTGTGCGTGGTGTCGTCATGCGTGTGCAAATAGGCGCGTCTAGAGGTGTAAGTTCGAAGCTCCTCGGTGCCCACAGCGTGTGCCTTCCGGTGCCCGTGCGTGCAGATGCACAGGTGAACACCTCTCTCTGCCAGGGCGCCTGCGCGACTCTTAAGGGCAGGTGTACTTACAGTTCGCGGGGTTTTACGAGGGCGTGGATGTGTGACCCTGTTACGTGGCCGTGAGTTGCTCTTGGGGAGTGCGCCTCCGCTGCTGCCCAGCTCGGCGCTTGGACCCACACAGGGCGTGGTCTGCCCCTCGTGGCGGCCACCCAAGGGCCGGAGCCAGCCTCTCTCCGTGGCGGCGGCTTGGTTCCGGCTTCTTCCCGCCGGATCCGCCGCGGACGCAAAGCTACAGTTCGCCAGTTGCCCGGGCTCGGGTGGGGAAAGCCCCTTTTCCGCCCCCGGGAGGGGGGAATTCCCGTGACGTTTCGCGCGTCACGCCCTGTGTCATTTTTCATTGGCTGAAAGTCTAACTCCGGACTCTCGCAGCCAACCAGGCGCGCCCCTCCGTGGGCGCGGCCCGCTGTCTGCCTCTCCTGGTCCTGCACTCCGTAAGCGCTCGCGCTGGGGGCCAGTCCTCCGCCGGACAGCGTACTAAGGCCGCTCCCAGCCCCAGAATCGCTCGGACTAGCACTGCCGGCGGGGCGTCCCCGCGGCTTCTTGCCCTCGATTTGCGCTTCGAGTCTGCTTGCCTCCGAAGTCGGAGAACCCCGGGGGAAGCCGGCCTGTCCCAGCCTGCGGCTCGCAGCCCCGAGTCGGGCCCCGCTGCTCGGAAAGGTTGCGGGAAGAGGAAGTTGCTCTTGCGGTCAGTCCTTAGGCGCCATCTGGCGGCCTTATGGGACCCCGGACCTTTCTGTTCGTCTCGGCTTCAGGAAGAGACCACCGTGGTCTAAAACTCTTTTTTTAAGTGTCAGGTCTATAATAAGCCAAGTTTTCAGGCTGACCTGAGTTTGGAATTCTTCCTGGGGGAGGGAGAGGTGTTTCCCTAGGAGACTCAGGCCTCGTTCATCTTCCTCAGAGGCCAGGAATGTTAGACTTGAAAAGGCATCCAAAATCTAAATAAAAGCTTCCCACATGACCCCTTGTCTCCCCAGCTTCCATTTGATTTTTTTTTTTTTTTTTTTTTTTTTTAGGAGAGGGCCTCATTCTATAGCCCAGGCTGTTGGGGAACTCCCGGTGATCGTCCTTCCTGACACTCGAGTGTGGGATTCCAGGCGTGCGCCACCACCTCAGGTGCCCCTTCTTATCTATGCAGTTACAGCTGCACTGGCACTAGAGAGAACTCGTAGGGCTCTTGATCTGGTCTCTGTCTATCCTTCCCTTTCTCTTACTCTTGGCAGCAAATATACAGTTAGTTTTGAGGTTTTGTTGTTGTTTATTTTTATTTTGTTTATCTATTTATTGTTTGCCTTTTTGAGACAGGGTCTCACTATGCAGTTCGAGCTGGCCTCGAGCTCATTTTGTAGCTTTTAGGGTGCGAACCACTCTTTACTCTCTCTGGAACTGAGCTTTGAATGCAGGACTTTTGCACTGAGCAATATTTCCAGTTGTTTTACTGTTTTACTTATTTCTTCTTCTTCTTCTTCTTCTTCTTCTTCTTCTTCGTCTTCGTCTTCGTCTTCGTCTTCTTCGTCTTCATTGTCGTCTTTGTCTTTTTGAGACAGGGTCTCACTATGCAGTTTAGGCTGTCTTGAGCTCACTTGGTAGCCCAGGCTGGTCTCGAACTTGCAGCGATCCTCCTGCCTCAGCCTCCCATGTGCTGGGATTACAGGCATGAGCCACCATGCCTGGCATCTTTCTTTCTTTCTTTCTTTCTTTCTTTCTTTCTTTCTTTCTTTCTTTCTTTCTTCTGTCAGCATCTCCCTATGCAGCTCAGGGTGAACATGAGCTCACTTGGTAGCCCAGGCTGGTCTTGAACTCTCAACAATCCTCCTGCCTCAGCCTCCGGAGAGCTGGGATTACAGGTGAGCACCACCATGCCTACTTACTACTTTTTTGAGACAGAGTCTCACTAAATTGCCCCAGCTGGGGCTGAACTTGCAGTGTTCCTGTCTCAGCGTACTGGAGTGTTGGTATTACAGGTGTGTGCCACTATGCCTGGCTGGACTTGAGCCATTGGGGCTGAGGATGTAGCTTAGTGGTACAGTGCTTGCCTAGCACGCACAAGGCTGTGAGTTCAATCCCCAGCAGCACGTACTGTTATGGATTGTATCTAGATGTTCCCCCAAAGCCTCATGCAGTCATGGGAAGAACTTTTTAAGAGGTGGTTGGATCCAGGGGGATCAGGCATGTGATACAGGGATTGATTCATGGTTTGATGCTAGGATTAAGGGTGTGAGTGCTACCCCAAAGGGCAAGTAGTCCGGATAAAATGTAAGAAAGAGGGCTGGTGTGCTCATTGCTGGTCACTTGCCTGCTGCCCTCTTTCTCCTCTGTGCTGCCCTCTGCCGTGTGTCACCATGCCTTAGAGCCAGCCTATGAACCAAAGCCTCCCACAAACTGAGCTGAAGAAACCTTTCCTCCTTTAACTTTGGTATTAGGTATTTTGTCCCATCAATGAGAAAAAGTGACTAATATGTGCATCCTGACACACAATCTGAGCTATAATTCATCTGAAGACTGAGACAAGTTCTTGCAGAAAGTCTCCGATGAAATACGGAGAACAGCACCTGCCCCACCAGCGCCGGCCCCTTGCAGGACATTTCGCCCAAGCCTACCAGTAGAATGGCAGTTTCCCTAACCTTTTTTATCTGGGCTTCACGATTTTTCAATCTAAGAATCATTTCTGACTCTGCCTAGGCCTGAAAATGTCTCCATTTATTTGCCAGCAAACAGGGAGGACCCAAGTTACAAGAGAAAATCCCTGCTTGCTGACAGAAGTCAGAGATGGATGTTGGTGGTCCTGGGTGCTACTGAAAAACATGAAGTAGGCCAGAGTACAGAGTGACACGTTTTCTGGCTAGCTTAGCGAGGGCCTCTTTGCCGAGGTGACATTTGAACAGTGACCTGAGAGCAGAGTGGGAGGGAGAGAGCTGTGTCGTATCCAGAGGAAGAGCATGCAGATGGAGCAGGGCTGTGTGAGCGTGTGTGCGCACAGCAGGCGGGGGGCGGGGAGTGGGGCAGAGCTGGAGCTTCGCATGTGTTCCCAACAAGATGGCGCTGTGGAATGAGGAAGGGCGGCAGCAGTCCTGCAGATGGTGGCTAGGAATTGGGTGGCAAGGGGAGAGGATGACGAGTGTTGCATCCTGGACAGACTCAGAGACAGATGCATCAGGCCTTGCTGAGTCTTGGATGTGGACTGTGGCAAAAGACAGGTGGCTTTCAGCATGAAACTTGGAAGAGAGCTGTCCCTTGATGGAGGGTGGGGGAAGGACCAGATTTGCAGGGGCACCCAGCGGTTCTGCTTTAACTGTTATGCTGGAGGCACCTCCGAATCGCGAAGAGTGGGTCGCTAAGTGTGGAGAGTCAGCTGTGTACAAGCTGGAAGTTGGGCACAGTGGCTGGCATCTGGGTCTGTACAAGGGGAGGTCAGCCAGTGCACACGTGCAGAGCAGTGACCAAGGATGGAAGGACGGAGCCCCGGGCACCCCAGCAGAGGAGGCAGCCCCAAGGGCAGCTGGCCATGTCGTGTGCACCCAGAGGCACAGCACTCTGGGAGGCTGAGGCAAAAGGGTTCCAGGTGTGAGCCCAACCTAGGAAATTTGATTTGGTATGAATGTATTTCAAAATTAGATAACAATAAAAAGCTGGGGATATAGCTCAGTGGCACAAGTGCCTGCCTGGCAAGTGCAAGGCCCTGAGCTTGATTCCCAGTACCAAAACCAAAAAAACAAAAGGCCAGGGTGTAGCTCAGTGAGGGCCCTGGGTTCAATCCAGAAAAAAAAAAAAAAAAAAAAAAAAAACTTAGGCATTATGGTGCACACCTGTTCCCCTAGCACTTGGGAAGCTGAGGCAGGGAAGATCACCATGATTTTAAGGCCAACCTTGGAGATATAGTAAGTTTAAGGCCAGCCTGAACCGCATATAGTGAGATCCTGTCTCAAAAAAAAAAAAAAAAAAAGGAAAAACGGTGAGATGGAGGAGAACCAAGAAAAAAAAAACCACGGCATTTCAGAAGCCAAGTGAAGGTGTGGAGGGATGACCATGAGCTTGCTCTTTTTTTGAGACAGTGTCTTGCGAAATGGTTCAATTACCCAGATTTTTCTGTATTTAGTACAGGGTCTATAGGGTCTTACTACACAGATCGGCCTCCTAGTGATCCTCCTGTCTACAGCCTTCCAAGAGCTGGGATTACAGGGGCGCATCACCACGCCCAGTCTCAATCGCCATCTCAGGGCACCCTGGGGCGGGGCCGGCACGGCAGGCCCGGAGACAGAGCTCCCAGCCCTTGCCTCAGCGTAGGCAGGCCCTTCAATTCGCTGAGCTATTTGGTCAGCCCTGAGCTTGCTCTTGAGTCCCAAGCCAAGGTGAAAGCCATGCTGGCCAGTCAAGCGGAAGACTCAATACTATTATGGACTACTGGACTCTTTTAGAATATTTTTGCTGAGTTAACACACCTATAATATTTAAATTACGGAACTAAACAAAAAGGGGATACAGATAAATGTCCATTTCGTATCTGTGTATTCAAAATGGTTAGGATAGATATACAGTTATATTCTCTTAGTGAATAGAGGGATTTGTTCTAATAGTGTTTGTAAA